TAACAAGAACAAGACAAGGTGAGGGACTGCTGAAGCAGCCACCACTCTCTAGAGCTCTACCTACAACAGAGTAGAATTTAGAGCCTGTTACACTTCAGATGTTAGCCACATTGTCCTACAAAGTTCCCCAGGAGCTCTGGTGCAAGGGAGTGGTTGGAGGATGACTAGACACACAACTGTTATTCTGATCCCCTGATTAGCTAGTGATCCTTGTGCCTAATTTCTCTGTTGTTTAGAACCTAGAAACAAGAAAAAGCCTTAGACTTTTGTCTATTTTAATAGACATTTATTTCTTACTTGACTCAAAAAAAGGATAAAAAAGCTATTGAGTTGCCAGGAGAAATCTAACAATCGGGATGGGAAAAAAAAATTGACTGATTTGATGTAAGGAATGAAACTATGTGAGAAAGATGGAAGGCAACAAGAGAGACATGGAAAAAGCAGAAATTGGTGCTCAAACATAGTTCTCTTCGTGAAAACATCAGAATGATCAATATTACTATTGGCCTAATAGTAATCTTATCTGCTTTTCATTTTAGCAGAAAATGAGTTGCCACTCTGCATTAAACATAAAAGGAGTCTTATGTATGGGCTGGGCATCTCTTTAGAAAACAAGAACTTTTTTAATATGATAAGGCTTGTAGAGAGGGAATTAAGACTGAAAAGATGGGAATTCCTATTAGAGGAAGCAAGTGGACTTTATAATTTGTAGGCAGACTAGTCAAATACACAGAAATAGCCAGCACACAACTCCTGGTTAAGAAGCACGTTTGATGTACTCTCGAAAAGGTGATATCTGTTCTCTGATCTCAAATTTCACTGTCATTTCTTCTTGTTACAATTTTAGCCTTGAGCCTTCTTCATATCTTCAATTAATCTTTGCTAGCTACCACAGAGAAAAGCACTTAACTGAGCTCTCTATACCCTTTCTAAAGGGTAGCTCTGATGATTTAAAATGTGACACAGTATTAGAAAGCCTTCACACTCCACAGTCTAGAACCCAGACAGACCTGCCTGCAGTTCTGCAGAAAATCTTACGTAGTAATGTTTGCCAAATTCTACCATAGGGGGCAGCATAGCACATGGAAAGAAAGGGTGTTTTTTTTTGAAATTAGGCAGATCTGGATTAAAATCTCTGGTCACTTACAGTGTGATTTTGGGGTGAATTATTTGGCCTCTCTGTAACTTCTACTTACTTACCTATCATAGGGACTTGCAAACAGTATGGGCTTAATAAATACCAATTCCTGACTGCCAGTACCCTTGACTTTTAACATTAAGATGGTCTGAAATTTCTAATGCATATTATTGCATAGCCTCCCATATGAACAAATCTTTGGTGACTAGAGGGAAAAAGATTGTCCAAAGAGTTTTGATAGTTTCAATATGTTTTCAAAGAAAAGATCAATGCAAGGAAGGATTAAAAAATCTTTTTTCTCAATATCATATTTGAGAAACAGCATGTTCAGGATGACCAATAAATAAGTACGGCTGTCCACAGGGAATGTTTAAGAAACTGCCAAAAAATAAAATAAAATAACACTTGAAAGCTATGTTGGGTAAAACTATGGCTAATCCCATATTAACATGAAAAAAAGGGATATTTTTAAATGATTCTTATACCTCTACTCTTCTCAAAACTCACAGTTTAAGAAGATTTAAAAGAAATTGTGGTCTAGGGTAATGTCTGGAGAAGTGTTTTATGTTTATAATGATCAAGAATTTAAAGCTGCTCCAAAATAAAGTCTTTGAAATAATGAGAGCTCTTCCTTATTTACTATATTAAAAAGATTTATATATATGGGTGACTGACATTTTCTTTATAAGCAATGAAGTAAGAGGTGACATCTTTAGTGTTGTTGAAAAAATAAAGTACTCTGGGAATAATCCTAAAGAAGAGATCCAGGAATAGAGAAAAAGGAAAATGGGCCAATTTCAACTTGAAATACTACTTTGTGGACGGGCATTGTTGCCTTGGCCGTCAATTAGTTTATATTCTTCTTGCCATTTTTGTGCAGGAAAATGACCTCAAGATAGACAGTACATCAAGTGTGAGCACAAGCATACATACATAACATACATATGCGTACACACATGAACACCTATGCACATATATACATCTCTCCCTGCCGTCACTAGTACTCAGTCCACTTCTGCGGCCTTGTATGTACAGCACAACAATTTGCATTCATGACTCAAAAGATACTAGAAAAAACTGACTTAAAATTGTTACTTTGTTTTTAAGGAGATAACCAGATAACTGTGTAAGACATATCTAAAAGTTCTGTTTACAGTTTCATCTTGAAGGGGGAAGAAAAAACGATAGAGCATCTGTCAGACCTTTGTACTGGTAGTTTTCCTACAGAACAATCTGATGACCTCTCCTTTTGGAAAAAGATGTTTTGTCTAGATGGCTTTCTTGTTTTTAATTTAAAATATAGCAGAACTCATTGAGAGTTTTGCATTGTTCAACAAGGCTTAGTTTTGATTAAACTTCTTTCTTAAATAAGATAATGCAATAAAATACTAACCCCCCCCCAACCTGAACCCTCAGAAAAAAAAAGACATAAACCCCCTCTTTTCATGTAGTAACCTTGAGGGAGAAAGATCAAGAGACTGGGGGACAAAAGCTGGGTGGATTGCATTATAAAAGGTCTTAGCCTTACCAACAAAGCAGGGCGGTAGCTATGACTGGTAGAGCCATCTGGCTGAGATTCAAAGCACTGCTTCAACACCTTGAGACAGAGATGGTAGAATGGATATAAACCACTACTGAAGCCAGCTTCTTCTTAGATCAAACCAACTAAATAAAATCTAAACTTGCAGACAGGCTAGGGAAATTAGGGATAAACATGTTTTAGAAAGAGTTTTAAGTTTCACAACCTTAAGCAAAAATGATAAAAGCAATTCAAGTATTAAACCTAGCATCTGAGATTTTTTATTCCAGGTCAGGTTACATTAAAGGAGATGATGTTACATCTGTTTGTATATTGTTTATGGGCTAAACTGATGATTCACTGTAAAATTTAAAAATAAGCAAATAAGAGTAAGAGGACAAACTACTATGGACATTATTTCAATGTCTATAAAATAAGCTATTATTTGAATTAAAATGTTCCATTCCAAAGAACTGTTTAGCTTATAAGTCTACTCTACATGGATATTCATGATTTTTATCTAATTTTAAAATGATAAAGAACCAAAAAGCATGCAAACATAAAGATCTATGAGCACAGAAGCCTGAGGGGGAAAGAAAGGATAGAAGTTGTGCTACATAATGCCTCATTCATTCTGAGTATAATTCTTTTTACTTTTTCTCCTCTTAAAACAGACTGCCTAAAATATTGATTAAAATAAATTCTAACTCCAGTGAAAAGTACATGATGTTGTATTGAATTTCCCATAATTTCAATAGCACCAAAATACAGAGAAAATAAAATTCAATGTAGAGAGGTCAGCACTTACTTGACTTAATTAGGAGCTAGTCAACAAGACCAAGCTATGTAAAGAAAACTCCTATTTCCAACCTTTATTATCATTTTCCGGGGTCTGTATGGGTGTATTCACATTCTTTACAACTTAAAAATGTTTCGATTATGGAATAGTTTAAACATACTTTAAAAACCACACAGAAAAATACCCATGAACCACCCCAATTCTGCAACCCAGCTTCAACAATCAGCAACTCGTGGCAAATCTATACCCTCTTTCCTCTTCTCCCCTTCAGGATTATTTCGAAGCAAAGCCCGAGCACTATCTCATTTCATTATGACTATAAATTGATGGGGGGGTGCAGAGAAGAATACGATAGAAAGATCGGGGAGTGAGAGAAATAATGCTACTTCTTTTTCTCTACAATCCCCACCTCTTGTCATAACCATAATTTTAAGAGCTACAACACCCAAGAATATTTTGAGGAAAGAAGCCCACATGCCATCCCAAAGAACAAGCCCTGGCAATTTCAACTTTACTGCAGTTGCCCAATCACTTCCTCCTTCCATTTCAGACAGACTTCAACGTTTCAGGACCTTCCCGCCTATCTAGTAACAAAGACAACACTGGGAAGCAGTGATAGTATATTCCAGTCCCTATTCTCTGGTATAGCTTCAAAGGACTCTATCCAACAAAATTGTTTTTCTCAGCACTAGATTAATCACCAAGTCCTGGAGTTGGTAAGATGTCTCTGGTTTAGACAGGAGTCTAACTAGCCACCTTTTAAAATAGGCCTATGGCTAAGAGATGCCTGGGTGGCTCAGTCAGTTAAGCATCCAACTCTTGACTGAGCTCAGGTCATGACCTCAGGGTCGTGAGATCAAGTCCCGGTGTTGGGCTCCACGCTGGGTATGGAAGCTGCTTAAGATTCTCTTTCTCCCTCTCTCTGCCACTCCCCCCAACACACCTGGCTGCACACATGTCCACACTCTCTCTCACTAAAAACAAAAACAAAAAACATGTCTATGGCTAACTCCAGGGGCTACCACTAGCTGAATGAGGTAAGGAGGCACATACAACAGAGCTGTCTCCTAGGAATGGGAAGGAAAACAAAAAACTGCAAATAAGGGAAGTAGTGGCAGAAACCGGACAGTAACTTTTACCTTGGAGTAACACCTGCGAATACACAGCCCACCCCAACCACCTGCATTTTGTAAATAAGACAAGATTCTTTACTACTTGATTTACATAAATCATATTTCTCTCCAACCCTCTCTACTGCACACAAACCACTAACCCCTGTCACAGGGATAAAATTTATAATAAAATTTGATATTAATGATTTTTCATAGTAATAGGATCAATTACTTTCCCTCTATTTGTAGTAACATTTTCCCAATACCAGTACTTCTATTTCTAATACCTTCCGTAAAACAAAACTTAGTTCATTTTATTATTACACATCTGAAGATTAATTTTGTGGCAATAACAATGACTGTGAGGAAAGTTTCATTCCAATTAATATGGACAGGTAAATGTCTCAGGAACAGCAGACTAAATATACTCACTTTTGTTGTCTTTGTATAGAATGGGGAGGAGAGCTGGTGAATAGGCAGGTCCACGATACTAGTGGAGTTTGTGACACTGTTACTATGTGTATGTTCATCTTCCCTGCTACTGTCATCAGATTGATCAAAATCATCACTCTCCTGGTCCATTTCCTCTTCCTCTTCATCCTCCTCATCTTGTTCACCAGCATGTTCTTCATCTTCTTCTTGCTCTTCTTGGTTTCCCGAGGAGTCCTCATCTACCGAAATGAATCGATTATTGTTTTCTTCCAACTGTCCTTGCTGGGAATCATTTTGGTCTCCAGGTCTAGGTTCTGCTCCGACGACCTCACCATTCCTTGCAGTGTGCCCCTCCTCTTGTTGTCTGAGCTGTTGCTGCTGCTGCTGCTGTTCCTCCTCAACCACACGATTCATCTGTTCCTCATCTGCCTGGCTTGAGGAAGGGTTACCTCTCAGAGAACCTCCAGTTCGTCGTCTTTTGCTGCCCACAGAGAGCAGTTCCTGATTCATTTCCAAAAGCCAGCTTGCTACTTCTTGGACCTTAGCTAGACTATCAGAAGATGCAAAGGATTTCACATTCTGTAGGGAAAAATGGGGGGGAAAAAAAGGTTTGTACAATCTACATTATCTTCCACTTTTATGTTCTATGTTTATATTCCACATTTCACTAAAGACTGTAAAAAGTATCTGACGCTATTGAGATGTTCTTTAGGAACCAATAGAAAGTTTAAAATGTAAAAATTGAGACTTTATAAAGACATACACAAAAATCAAATAGTAAACAGCTTTATTTTAATATTTTAAAAAATAATTTTAGAATGAAACTTTATAATTTAGTTGCTTTTACCAATAAAACATAATTTAACCAATAAAATGATATTCAGTTTTAGATCAGTTCATAAACTTTATCTTTTATAAAACTTCCAGAAAATGTTATGAAGTATATCATAAAAAACTATTCAATGATCAGTTAAGTTCAGGAAATACTGAGGTAAACCAAGATAAAGAGGCTTTTATACTGTAGGAATTTCCCAAACTTCTCTGATCATAGAACCTTGCCTTAAGACATGGTTTTCTGACAGGTACCAAGTATAATCATTATGATTTTCATTTTTCATAATGAATATAAATCAACTGGAGCGCAAATAAACAAAAAAATTATTTTTATTTTCTTTAAAAAAAGGAAAAAAGTTCGTAAGTTCATACCCTCTGACCCAGTAACTCCACTTCTGGCAATCTATCCTAAGGAAGTAATCCTAAAACAGAAAAAAAAATTATGCAAAGGATGCTCACTGCAGCTTTATCCACAAAAGCAAAAAATAAAAATAAATGTAAATAAAAATAATCAAAACCCAAATGTTCAAGACAAAGGAATCCATGAGATGGGATATATATAGTGCAATCCCTAAACACGATGTGCATTTTAAAAAATTGTGAGAACATGGATGTTTGTATTATGCTAAGGGCAAAATACAGGTAATTATATGATCACAGCATGACTTTTAAACCGCATAAAGACTAGAAGACAATATTTCAAAATATAAACTACATTTAGGCAGTGGTTATTATAAGTGCCTTAAACTTAATTTTAACCATTATTTCTCAAATGTTATGTATCAAACACATTTGCTTTTATGTTTTATAGACTCTAAAATTTGATCTGATATAGAATCTTTTCATAATGCTCATTCTTAAATTTCGTCCTTTGCAGATATCTATATGGACATGTTTGAGGTTACATAAAATCATGCCAACACACTGCCCAAGCTCATATAAAATTCCTTCTAAAAATATCTTTAAGGTTTATGAGATATAAGAAATACAATATCCATCTTCTATCATGTCCTAAGAATAAGTCCATTATAGTATATCACAATGGTCTTCAGATAAAACAGCCTTATTTACTTTTCAAACCCTTGCCACTAGAGGTGAATGCCCCAAAGGGCCATAGTTCTCATTGCAAGTTTTGAAATGGGGTCTGAAAGTCTGAAAGGTAGTTTTAAAATAGGAGTATTTCATTTTATTTTCTCTAATCGACATTTTCTAAGAAAAAAGCTGTAGTGTGGGGGGGGGATTTTTTGATTCTAATTACAACTAGAAGTTAAATATAGAAAGAGAAGAGTTCCAATGACTGAGCTGTGAGACACTCCAATATTCTGAGAGAAAGAGTAACCAACAAAGATGACTAACAAGGAGAACTGGGAATGAGTGACATCTTCAAGGCCCTTAAGAAAGCATACCCAGGAGGAGAAAGTATAAAATGACAACTGTCGATGAGATCAAGTAGGATGAAGAGAAAGAACTGACCATTGGATTCAGTAACGTGGAAGTCACCAGTAACAGGAGTTTTATTAGTTGAAATCTGATTAAAGTAGATTTAAGAGACTAGGAAGAGAGAATAGAGATGAGGGGTACGAGCAAGTTACGAATTTGCTACAAAAAAAGAACAAACTAAAGGGAGTGGTAATTGGTAGGGAAAACAGAGTCAAGAGAAAATTTTTTATTCTTTAAGATTGGAAAACTAGCAGTATATCGGTATACTGACAAGAATGATCCAGCACAAAACAAAAAGTGGATAATGTAATCGAGAAAGAGAAGAAATGGTGAAGTGATATTCGTAAGTAATTAAAAGGGGATGATGAGAATGAGTTCAAAATTGGAAGGACTAGTTTTAGTTTAAAAAATGGATACTTCATTTATAGTAAAAGATGGGAAAGAAGAATGGTATTATAGGTACTTCATATTTATTTCTTTTTACCATATTTCTCAATGTGGAAACAGTTGGAAACAGGTGGATTTTTTATAAGTGGTAGAAGTCTAGAAATTCCCTACTCATTCCTTCAATTATTGTCCTTTTCTTTTTAAAGTAGGAAGCAACGTCGCCATTATCATCAGTGATCTTGGGAGAGGAGGTGCTAGAAATATGAAGAAAGGGGTTTGAAATAGTCCCCTAGGGAGAGAGGAAAGAAAATTTACTAGGTTTGTGAGATTTTGATGATCAAATATAATCAATAAATCATGATGCAATATATATTAAAAGTGGCTTTTAAAAGTCAAGTGATTCTTTACAACTCGGATAAGCACAATAACAAAATTTCTATCTGAGGCAGGAAGTAGAGTTTAAAAAAAAAGCACATTAAATATATCTGTTGTTTTCTACAAAAAATAAAATAATAAACTACAGAAAATAAAGGTCATCAAAATCTTACTGATTCATATATGTCAAAGACAAACTATGAAAACATCACAGAAAAGCATGTTAAAAATAACATGTTGAAAAACACTGACCTACGCAAATGAATATATATAGTATCCCAATGTATATAAAGGTAAATCCACTATTCATAGGTTTCCGTCCAAGAATTAAAAACTTGGTTTAGTAACTGCATCTAAAGTCTAGTTCTCCTAACACTAATAAGGACATTTTTCACTTGGATGTTTATGCATAGAACAGCATGAAATTAGGGTCACTGCCTGTAATAATGCAGATCCCAAGCAAATTGCCCTTTGTGTGCCAACCAAACAGGCATCTTTTAAAGAGATAAAAACTGGTTAAATGACATATTAAGAGCAACTTACAAGGTGAAAAAAATGAAAGAACAAAGGTCATAAAACTAATCCTAAAGAATATGTGCAAAATAGGGAGGAGACTATTGGTAAGTAGCCTATCAACAAACAGAAAGTTTATGACTGGCATTTCTAAAATAGTACTAGTACTGATCATCAGTGAACACTTCTGTTACTAGTTAGGAATAATAAAAAGTCAAATCACTATCATTGTGTAACTTTAGTGTCATATTGAGAGGAACAGAGAAGAAAGCGTCTTTAATTCAAGCCAATAAAGTTAACTGACTCATATTTACAACCATGGCATATAAATAGCTTTCAAAATAATACAGATTCTTACAGATAGACCTGATCAAAAATAGTAAATCCAAGTAGAAGAATCAGATTTAAAGCACAGCCAATATAAAGTCGGATTCTAGGAATCCCAGAATATTTGAAGAGGCTGAAAATATCTGACAGACTTACATAAAAATTTGTCCAAGTAGTATATATGTTGGATTGGAGCTCTCCGACCCATTTTGGGAATGGAAAACAGAAATGAAAATTTCATTTTGTTGGTATTCATAAACTCAAATTTAAACAAAAAACCCAGTATTTTTAGGAAATTAGTTTTTTCTAATAATGATCTATTAAGTAAGCTAATGACCTAATTAAAAGAATAAGCATTTATCCAATTAGTAATAGGAAATCAGAATCAACTAAGTATTCTTATAAGGGGGGGAGAACCTTTTTAAAAATAGTTTATAAAGCCCCACGTTAAAAAACAATTGATCTAAAACTTGAAACTGTCCATGCAGCAGAAGTTAATAAAATATTAACCCCAAAAATGCACACTTCCTTCTTTTAGATTTTTATTTATTTATTTGAGAGAGAAAGTGTGTGCAAGTGCGCATGAGCAGGGTGAGGGGCAAATACTGGCTTCTTTTCCAAAACCAGAATCACTACAATGCTCAAAGATTATTACTATAAAACAAATATTTACTGAACACTCAATATGTTTTAGGTACATTTTAATTTTCTAGAGGATAATGTTTAGAAAAGTTTCTTTACAAGTTAATCAATGACTTTTAACCTGACCAGAACCCATGGTAAAATCAGATTTTACATTATAAATAACTCTGGATGTATGTATCTAAACAAACCTAAAACAACGGTTTAGAGAGAGGGAATTATGAAATATTTCAGATACCTAAAGTCTCTATAAATCACCACCTTAACTAAACATGTCCATTCTCATTATTTGTAGTAATTGTGTTCTATAAAGTTATCACAAATACTGAACCACTGCCCCTACGGGGAACACAGGGTTAACTTCCTGCAAGCTTTGGTCACAACATTTTGGCCAACTGATCGATATAGAATCTTTTCAAGTGTATATTTCTATTTAAAGACATGTACTTAATATATATTGTTGATTCATTAACACTGAACTCACAGCCAACAGCACCATAAACCCATGCCTGAACAAAGCTTATCTAACACCTATATGCTCTCCACAAGGCACATTTCGACACTAGACAGCACCTCGCCACTATGCTTGGGGGCCATTTTCAACAGCCAAATATTTCACTAAATTGACCATGAAAAGGACACTTGTTTACAGTATGAGAGCTGAAACAAGAAGGCAGAGTGTCACTTTGTTTGACCTCAGATGGGAATGTGCATGCCAAGTGATTTTTTGCCACTCTGTGCATCCTCATGTCCACAAATGACTGTGAAAGCATCGTGAATATTGATTTTTGGTGTCACAAATAAACTGTAGTGAGTAGGCAAATTCGCAAATACAGAATCTACAAATAATGAGGGTGGATGGTACCTACTTTATCTAAGTCCTCTAGACAGGGCACTACTTGCAATGCAAGATTCACACAGTATTTTGAGATATCAACAAAGAAGCCACAGCATTACCTATTGGCTGCTTCTGGAAATATAACAAAGGATAAATGATCAAAGAAATTGGAAGCTCTAACAGACATTCATCACTAACTTCTTCAAATAAATCAGAAGTTTAGATAGCTCATATTAAATAAAGTTATACTTTGTATAAAGTAACTGCTAGAAAGAAAAAGGGTGAGAAGGGCATCATTTTTCCCTTTGTAAGTGGGCAGAACAGGGTTCTTCTGGCAGTGTTTTTCATTACAGTGACAGTTCTGAACCTAAGGATGCCTAAAAGAAGAGATTCCTACAGTCACCTCCATCCTAGGATGAAGAAGTATTATAATAATTTTGCTCTTCAAAAAAATTCAGAAATAAGGTTACTGTGATAGAAGAGAATTACTCCAGGACTTTACCCAAGTCCTAGAAAATACTGGGTAACGTTTAGCCATTATACCTTGTTGATTTAGTGACACCTCAGACCGAATTCCAGTGCTTTTTAAAAACTAGTTTCTCAGAAACTTATAACTAGTTTCTCATGAACCTTGCTTTTCAAAAGATCTTTGATTACTTAAAACCACTTGAACTTATTTTAGGATGCTTAAAGGAATCAATGTGGGCAAGTTCACATGTTAAACAAATTGAGCTCTGAAACCCTGTCTCAGAGTGAACTAGAGCTGTTTCCACAGCAAACACTAACCTTGAAATTACCTTGAAATCTAAGTAACAGGGGAACACTAGTTACACTAATAAAACAAGGGGTGACTTAAGCAAACGGCCAAAGCCTCCAAATGACTGTGCAATTTTTAGACAT